GAATATAAAAGAGGGGACTTGCTCCACTTCCAATGTTAAGTCTTTAATTTTCAGGTAACATGATAATGACATTGTCAGTCAACATGGTATCAGAGCGGAAGGCGTAGCCCTTGACTCATGGTAGTGTGATCACAGCTCCACGTCGTCGTTCTTCCTTATGGGTGAGTGAGCTCAGCTTCACTGTTCTAGAATCTCTCCGAACTAAAGGAGTAATATTTTGGAAACCAAGTTTTGTTTCCACAAATATTTTAGACTGTGGAGTCTGACCAGTTTTCGGAGTCTTGTCCGACTCAGATTTGATGAGTCCTAATTCTATTCTCACTCTTCGTATCGAAACAACCTGGGTCTTGTTGACCAGCCATGTGTTTTACCTGTAATAGCAAACACATATCTTTAGTTTAGTACAAATGGCTAACAATACTTATATTCCATATGCCAGCAAACTTGTTGGTGTCCAGAATTACAATGTATGGAAGATTAGAATGACACAAGCGTTGAAGAAGGAAGAGTCTGGTATTTGTGTGAAGGAGTAGGTCTAGGAGGTGGTCATCATGCGACTTGCTCTATTCCTACTGCAGTCCAAGCTACATCTGCAACTTCAGGAACCCTTTCTGGAGAAACCAGCCGTGGAGCGACTGGGATTTATGCAAATGTATTGCCTATCTCAGTCCCGCAAAGTACCATTGTAGCTGCAACAGCAGTTGATGAAGATGCTGATGAGGAGAAGGCCATGCACATGCTTATGTGCTCTGTTAGTGACGATATTGTTGCTAAGTTTTGACTATGCAGATCACCTTTGGATGCATGGAGTTTATTGAAACGGAAGTTCGAAGTCGGCAATCCAAGCAAAAGAATACATCTTAAAGGACACTTATTGCTCAGGACGACTGTCACTACTGAGGGTGAACGACAAACCTGGTGATATTGAGAGCTATTTTAAGGAGTATGACGATCTTCTCGCTCAACTAACATCGATTGGATCAGAGGTACCGGAGGAAGATCAAATCCAACACCTGGTCGATGCACTTCCTAAAACTTATGACCCTATTGTATTCGGCATGATGGGTTTCGGTCTTCCCAGTCTGCTTGAAATTCAGGCCACAGTTATGTTTGAAGAGAGCGAGCGTCAGATGCGGCAAGTTTCTATGAAGAATACTGAAGAATCGCTTCTGGTGTGGTTCCAACGAAGAAATCAACTTGGTAACTTCAAGTCTTACTCAGAGACTATAAACAGAGGCAACTCTCCTGTCATATGTCATTATTGTGGACGTCCTGGACACTTTCTCTCTTAATGCAGAGAAAGAGAGGAAGATATACGTAGACTAGATAGTGATAAGAAAATTAAGCTCAGAAGTCAAGGAAATATTCCAGTCAGTTTACGAGAACAAGAGGAAGAAAACCTAAATGAGGAGGGTGATGAATCTCATCAAACTTCTGAGATGATGAGTGCTGCCGTTAATTCTCTTCAGATAAACTCATCCGATCATGGAGCTTGGATTCTAGACTCAGGAGCAGCCATGCATGGTTACGGGCTATGAAGATGTTGTAGATAAATTAGAACCAGAAGAATGCATAGGCATTACTATAGCAGCAGGAGTAGAGTCTCACCGAGTCAATGACACCGGAAATGCAAACTTTGAAGTTCTTCATCGAGAAATAAAGGCCTCAAAAGTTTTCTATATGCCTGGTGTAACTTGAAATCTATTGAGTGTTAGTGCCTTTGTCAAACAAGGACTCAAACTAATGTTTGACTATCCAAGTTATCAATAAAAGAACAAGAACCGTATTAGCCATGGCTACATTAGATCCCAAAACTCTACTTGTGGAGATT